ATTTCCTGTAAAAACGTCAGTCGGTTTGTTTACATGTCATTTGTACAACACTGATTTAGCTGAAATATCACTAAATAATTATTAAAATCTATACGTATTCAAATATTTCGTTGTTTACTTCCATTTTTTACAAATATAAGGTACTTTGCTTTCACCGCTGTTTGTTTTTGCTTGCACATGCAAATCAGCTGATCGTTTGACACTTTTCATGAACTTACCGGAAAAGAAACTCCGGACTAAATCCTGTAACTAGGAACAGTTGCTCAGTTGCTCTCTCAAATGTCAATAGGAACGACCTCCTGTAAGTTCTGACTAAATCCTGTAAACCGGACTGCTATTGGAACAGACTAAAAACTAAAATAAATACTGAATCACATGTCTGTCGGACTATCGATAGGACCAAAAAACAATCGATAGTAGGGAAAATTAAAAACCATCGATACTATCGATAGTGCCATCTATAGTTTTGCGCCTCTAACGGATTGGCTAAGTGATGACGGATGTGTACTTTGAAACGAATTTCAGGGTCCGTATTGAGGTCAAAGGCTGACATTGTGGCATGAGAATTGCTGACTCGGTTCATGTTAACTAATGTTTGCTGGTTTCACAGGCCCTTTACTTAACTATGACAGATAATAAAATTTGCAAAAGATGCTAATAAAGGAGGAGACGTGGAATGAAACTGCAGGATGTGCGAGTGTTCAGCTCTTAGAAGGGCACAGCTAAGTCAATTGTGAGTAGGTTTATAACCGAAACTGAATGCGGTTGCCAAAATAGAGTATAATAACTCATCTTTTTAGAAATTTAAGCCTGAAGGACATCATGCTGCGTGAAGGCCTGATGCTTTTAGTGTCAGTATAGTTACTATTGCCAACTTAAGGGATAAAGTCGACGCCAACTACTCTCAATGATTGTGGTATAAAAGCAAGTGCTTGAATCGCATTGAAAATCCTTTTCAAAGTCGCCGACAGTAACTTAACACTTTCTTTGATTACAATAGGCAGAATGTTCGGACTGGGTGATTTGAAGCATCCTTTGGAGTGTTATCGTCTCCTTTCGAGAGAAGAGTTAGGCAAGCAGTATGGGACAAAGCCACAATACTCTTGCTTGTATAACCTTCACCATTATATTTGGGTGTTCCTCCGTGGACAGTGATCCCCTAAGAGATGCAATAGAAGGGGCAGTTTCCGGCAACTCTACTAGAAAGGGGATTACTCCTGCCTGCGTTTCGCCGTCTGGTGGCACCTTCTTCAGCTACTCTTCTGGGAAAATGAACCCACATCTCCCCATTAGGCAGATAACTTAGTATTCATATTTATATTCGTATTCCTAATCCTATATGTATTCGTATACCTATTGGTTTTCCTATTCACATATTTGAGAGCCATTAAATGCTACATATTTAGTAAATGGACAGCGGCATTTTCCTCGTTAAATTCAAATTTACCTAATCTATTTGAGCACATACATGTACATATAAATAGTAAGTATGAACTAAAAGTTTACTCACGTATCACTGAATTGCCATTGGCAATATTATCTACGCCCATTTTAATTTCTTTAACATTGAAATCCATTTTGACCTGTTCGGCTGTAAGATAAGTACGCCCATCGTCAGCCACATTGGGAGTTGCTTTGAAGTAGATTTTCGCCTTGACGCCATCTGTGGCAAAGAAAAGACAATCAATTGTGAATAAATTAATAAAAAATGTAAATATTAATTACACTAAGAGGAAAATATTTACAACGTAAATAGCTTACCATATTCGCCCCAATAATCACCAGCACCAGAGGCTTTCACTAAGATCAATACACCCGTAGAGCGATACTGAGCACGAACTTTAATATGTGGAATTTCGCAAGTCAACTGAAATTGCAAAGTCTCCAAATCGGAACTGAAAGAAAACAAGAAGAAAGTAAAATGATTAGGAAAAATAATTCAGCACAAGAAGAAGTGATAAATAAGCATGGTTACCTCATATGGGAGAGGAAGAAAAGAAGAGTTTATGGACGAAAAACTTCCTTCTTTTCGATGTTGAAAATTAAAAACAAATTCTCATCGCTAAAATCAGTTTAAAATTTGTATTGAAATTTACAAAAATATAAAATCAAATCAAGGGTGGTCCAAAAATGGATTTGAAATAGTAAAGTCCGAATTTAAGTGCTCTCACCCATTTTGCCATTTTTAAACAATTGGGTACTATTATTGGAAGTCTCCTAAAAAGAAACCGAGCCTACTGATCGAAAAATATTGATTTTCAAGAATTCTATACCATTTTTACGGATTTTTTCCGACTTTATTTTTTTTTTACCACCCTGATGTATGTACACTTATTTATGTATATATGTATGTATATTATGGCGGGCCAATTTATATGCAAAATTCACTAGAAAATAAAAGAAACTGTGATCACGCAATGGGTTAAAACGACAAAATGTAATTTAACTTCCAAAAAAGGTGGCAACCCTATTCAAAAACGATAAAAAAAATATTTGAACGAATAAAGGTCCCGCATTTAAATCACCCTGCACCACAAAAAAAAATTCTAACTTTAAAAAGTTAAATCTTATTGCACATCTACGGGTTCAGTTCTTCAATTTGACATATCATTTTTGACGACTGTGCAGATCTGATGACCTTCACAAAAATGCCTTCGCTTACTATATATAAACATGTGTACATATGCATATGTACATAGCTATGTAGATAGATACTACTTTTCGAATAGGTGGCAACTCTGATCAAAAATATTTTCAAACTAACGTTTTCTTAAAACTCGTTTGACACTCATATTTAGTATGTATTTCTTTTGACTTGTGTATGCATATGTATGTTACATAATTTCGATTTTCAAAAAGATAGGACTTCTCTTAAAAATATTTTAAAACTGAAATCTTCTGACAATGTGATAAATATTTCAATTAACTGTTGAAATAAGTTGAATTTGATTTTCTAAATCAATTTCAAACGCATTTCTATTTATACTCATCTTCTAATAATTCATTAAATAACTTTCACAAAAGGTAGCAATCCTGTTCAAACACGTCAAAAATTCAAAATCTTCAAACCAAAGATTTCTCAACACTCTTTGTTTGACACCAGTTTGCTGCTGCAACAAATATGACGCTACAACGCAAATTTGTAAGTTTTTGTGTATTTTTCTGGCACTTAAAAACGAATTTATGTGGCGTACTTTGCGGCGCACTAGAAATCACAACAGTGATGAGCTAAGTTTTGCGACTCTGTTAGAATAGAGGGGTTTATATAACCTGTATATACTTCAAATAAATTCGAGTTTTCAAACTTGTGGCAACACTATTCAAAATAATTTCAAACTACAGCCTCTTTCTTCTGACACCCCTATTGTGGTACATTTTTCAATTACCTTATTCCCTTGATTTAAGTTGTATTTAATTTTTTAAACAGGTGGCAACTCTATTTTAATTAACTCTTTCTCGAAATTGACTTTTGACCCATAGTTTGTCACTAAATTTGCTTAGAATTTCATGTAGAGTACCACTATGCCATAGTCGTATAGTAAAAAAAATCAAAATTGACCCGCCCTAATGTCATATGTAGAATAAAATGTCCAGCTTCACTAATCAACTCGCTACCAAGTCATAATTCATCATCTAGTTAAAAAGAAGGTCATCGTGCGACTGGGTGGATCATGCTGCAAACGCTTTTAAATCTCAGCTATATTTGGCTGACTTGAGTTGAGCTGAGCTGAGCTTGTGGATTATGCCATGACCCCACGATAAATCGACTTGACCGACCGGGTGTCCGTAGTTCATACTTAGTTATTGAGATTGACACCTCAATGTCTACACGCATACAAACATAGTAAATTGAAGAAGTGTTGGCCAAATTAAGTGCTGCTGCACTCTTCACCTTGATGCAAATTGACAAAATGGCTAGGTGTGCTCATATTATTTAAGCTACGTATGTATGTGTGCATGTATGTTTGTATGCCTTCCAGCAATCCATTCAAGCACACATAACAAACGACAAATGGTTGCATGCAACATCGAATTGCTCCAAAAAAAGTGCTAAGCAAACGACAATTTAGCAAATTTCTCAGTTCGTTGGCGGCCCGGCTACAGAGCCGCAAGCGTAAACGAGTAAACAAGTTAAAAACTTGACGCTTTTAACCTTGAATGCAGCAGCTTAAGCACCAATAGCAAACAGATGCAATTAGTTTTTGTTGTTGCTGACGCAGCTTGTTGTCACTTTTTCAATAGCTAAATAGCAGACTTTTTTGGTTTTTCAAAATGAATGGACAATCAGCAGCAAAAATATCTATGTAAGTATTAAAGCTCAAAAATATGCATGTTATATGTAAATATGTCTACAAGTAGCAATGTAAATACAAATGTATATGCGCTCATGCTAACATGCCGAATGTACTGGTTTACGCTCACAAATCACTTAAATGTCTAATTTGCAACACGCGACGGTCGTTAGTGGCAACAGGCGTAACTTGTAAACGTACTATGTACTAAAATATGTATAAAATTTGGCTGCCTGACTTGTGGTTAACGATGGCGTATGATAAAAGTTACATATACTAGCATAGACACCTTCATTCTAGTACTTCTTTAATAAATAAGGCATGTGCATGAACAGGTTTAAACTGGTATCAGTCTGGTAATTTTTGGACTAGTTGTTGGACTATTACGCAAGCTTCTCTGTTTTCAACTGATCACCTAACTTCAAAACACTTTTTATGACTTCAGTAGGCCATGTTTGCAAGACGCTAAAAAACTGAGTGCTTGTAGTCCCTACGCGCGAAAGAAGTGAAACATTGTCTTTGCCTTCATTTTAATTTTAATCCTCATCTTCTACAACATCTTCAACATCTTCATCTTCATCTTCATTTTCATCTTCATCTTCATCTTCATCTTCATCTTCATCTTCATCTTCAT